TTGGCCCCTCACCTGCTTGTTGACATCTCACCTGCTCGTGGGCCCCTCACCTGCTCGCTGGCCCCTCACCTGCTCGCTGGCCCCTCACCTGCTCGTTGACATCTCACCTGCTCGTTGGCCCCTCACCTGCTCATGGGCCCCTCACCTGCTCGTTGGCCCCTCACCTGCTCATTGACGTCATCCATCCAGAGGCGCAGCGTCTTGCGAATGGTGGGGTAGTTGTTTCTGCCGCCCGACTGCGGCCTCAGCAGCCCCGCCTTCTCCAGGTTGTACAGGGTCAGGATGTGCTCGTAGCCGTACGTCTGCAAGGTGAGCATGGAGCCTCAGAGGCTGGTGCACCCAGAGCGTTTGCTAAACTGAGCGCTCTGCACAGACCTGTGTCGTCTGACCCCTGGGGCACGCCGCCAGGTCCAGCCAGTGCCTATGAAGGGTGCAGGGGACGCGGTGTGCCCACACCGCCTGCCCCTGACAGTGACGCCAGCTCACGGAGTCAGAGATTTTAAAATCAGTATTTATAGAGTCAACATGAGAAGAGCTCAAGCACATGGCCTTCTAGCTACAGGACCCAAACCCCAAACCACTGGCGTCAAGTCAGGGAGACCCCCACGGGGTCCACGAGGCTGTTAAACCTTCATGGGGGGAGAGTCCCCACCCTGCTCCCAGCAGAGGCAGGCGGATTTGAAACAGCAACCTTTCGGTCAGCAGGTGTCTGTATACTTACACATGAGATATAATCAGTTATTTAAAAAGAATGAGGCTGATCTAGTCTTCCTGTGAAGAGACTTTCTGAAGGCTAAAAGAGGAGCCAATTCTAGAACACTATGGAGAGCGCCTTGATGGCCGGAATGACGACCTACAGGTGCGTGGTTTGAACCACCAGCGGCTGAGGCAGGAGGATGGGTCGTCTCATGCAGAGAAGCAGGGAGATAGAACTGCTTGACGCAGAGCTGTCTTAAATCTTCAATTTGTAAAACACAGTGTCTGCAAAGTGCAATGATGCAAGGCATAGAGAGAGGGAAAAGACTGCCACAGCCCATCCTAGGGACAAAAGGAAGTCACCGTAGAAGACCATGTAGAGTGGGGGGCCGTGGTGGTGCTTGTCATGGAGTCAACGGTGTCCCCTAAACACACATAGGTACAGCTACCACCTGAAGGCCCTGTACCAGCTCCCTGTGATCTAATCCACCAAGAGGCTGCAAGGGGAACCCGAGGGGAACTTGGAACCAGCCCAGCCCTGACGTGGTACTGCCACAGGATGAGGCCTGAAGACCTTCTATCTCATTGGATGAGAAGAGGGAGGAAGGCTCAGGGCCGACAAAGCGTGGCCGCAATGCAGTGTCCTTCCTGGACCAGGGCCTGAGCGAGGACGCGGACACTGGGGAAGGTCAGGGACATGCAGTCCTGGGCAGTGGAGTGTCCTTCCTGGACTTGGGCCTGAGTGAGGACACTGACACTGGTGAAGGTCAAGGACATGCAGGAATGAGCAGTGCAGTGTCCTTCCTGGACCAGGGCCTGAGTGAGGACACTGACACGGGGGAAGGTCAGGCACACGCAGACCTCCAAGGACCGCCTGGCCTCCAATGCTGGAGGACACAGTACTTTCCTCCTTAACAGACAGAAAGAGACAAGTGGGCCTTCCCCAAGCTGGCACCCTGAGTTTGAATAAACCTGGCTGTTAAAGCCACCAACTTGTAGTCCCTCTCCTCCGGCGGCGCTCGGGAACTGACAGCATCGCAGGTCAAGCGCTGGCCCACTGACAGAAAGGCCAGCGTGAACCCCACAGCCACCACGTGGGAGGGAGCCGGGGTGGCTCCTGTGAAGACTTACAGCGCCGGAACCCCACGGGCACTTCTCTGTTCTAGAGGTCACCAGGAGTCAGGACAGAGGCAACGGCAGGGACATGCCAGCCAGGACCTCACCGTGTTACAAATGAGGAGGACAGGCAGCTAGAAGAGCCCACACCTAGCTGTACTGTTGTCTGTGCGCTGGACAAGGGGACCTGGTGTGACAGTGTGCCCCACGCTGGGTTGCTAATCAATAGTTCAGTGGTTCAAATCCATGCGCTGATCTGAGAGAGAAAGTCGGGGCATCTGGGAGACCTGACGCAGAACTGACTCGACGGGCAGTGGGTCTGGCTGTGCGGGACACTGTTCTTTGACCATGTTGTCCGGAGGGGCCGGTCCCTGGGAAGACCTCATGCAGGGAAAGGTGGAGGGTCAGTGTAACAGAGGAAGACCCTCAACAAGACAGACTGACACAGTGACAGTAACATGGGTTCAGGGACGTCAGGACTGACGAGGCCAGCACAGCTGTGACTTATCACAGGGCTGTCAGGAGTCGGAGGTAATGCAAAGGCATTAAATACCAACAACAACAGACACTGTTCTAAATGCTCTGCAGGTTGGTCTGTAATTCTTTCTATCCATCCCGAGAGAGGCCCCACGTTTGTCTCCACTTCAGAAATGCTTAAAAAATGTGCCTCCAATTTACGCAGATGCGCTCAAACTGTTAAGAGCCAACTCGAGAGATTAGACAGGAGCCCGAGGGGCAGTGAGCTACGTCATGACCGGGGAGGGCCAGCCCTAGAGAAGGGTGAGGGCTGCCCAGCGTGATCCGCACGACTGGACTGTTCACGTACAAAGTGCTGGACTGGTGAATGCTCTGCTGTGTACATTCTCAACGATGAAACATCAAGAAACAAAATCAAACTTCTACGGTGGCCCGTCCCACAACAGGCCTGCACGCCCTTCACCAGACAGACGCACGGAGCCCATGCACAGGACGGATACTGCTCAGTCAGAAACAGACAGGAAGTCCTGATACACACAGTGGGGTCAGAGGACTCGATCTCACCTCCAGGACGGGTCCAGAACAGACCGATGCAGAGACCCACCTTCATTAGCAGCTACGGGGGCAAGTGGACGGGGCCGTGGTGACAGGGCACCACAGGAGAGGCTGCTGATGAGAAGGTCAGCGCTTCAAATCCGCCAGCCACCTGCTGGGAGGCAGGTGAGGCCTCCCGCTCCCGTTACGGTTCACAGCCCTGGGAACCTGCCGGGGCGTCCGTGCGTGGTGTCTTGGGCGGGTGGGAGGAGGAAATGGGGGTCAAACACACTGACCTGGAGAATCTCTCGTTTGTAATAGTCCAGCACCTTCTGCTTGAGTCCACTGTTGCACACGGACTGCAGGCACACGAGCCTCAGCACCTTGACGAGGGGGTGCTTCTGGGCAATGCAGTCCTCGATGTAGCTGTTGACCTGGAAGCCAACAGCACGTGTTCACCAAGTGTCCCGGTCACCAGCCCTGCTCATATCACACGAAGGTGCCATGTGGGCAAGGGGTTCACTGATCTGGGTTGGTTGTTGTCGTTCTGTGCCGTCGAGTTGCTTGCAACTCATAGCGACCCTATGGACAACAGCCCTAAACCCTGCTCTATTCTTCGCCAATCTCACTGCCTCTGACACTCCCATCCCGATTACCCCAGTCACTGAATCAATCCACCTCATAGAGGGTCTTCCCCTCCTGCACTGTCCCTCAACCCTACCAAGCATGATGTCCCTCTCCAAGGACCTGTC